AACTTCCACCCTTGCATCTGAAAAGGATGACCAAATCTAGCCCTGGGAGGCTTTGGGATACAGAGGAAGGTAGGAACTCCCACCTGTAAAGCAAGTGGAGACCAGATTGAGAGCTTGGGAGGTTCTTCATACTCTGCTCAGCAGGCACTCAGAGGTTCACTTCCTTGCTACTTGTTTAAAAAAATAAGAATAAAGGGAAAAGACCTGTTTTAGCATTTGGGAGGCCTGCCAGGCTTTCTGCCAAGACCTTGGGGCACTAAGGAACATTGCTTGTGCTGTCTCACTTATTTTATCAGATCGTTTCCACTGCATGACAGCAGCAAAGCTGTGATGAACTGTTCAGTTAGAGAATCGTTTTGCTGCTTGCAGGACTTTTAAAATTATGATCTGCTTTCATGACACATGCAAAGTATAAGATCATGGCAGACGCATTGCCTGTCTTTATTACTTTTTTATCAATTAGCTTAGAGTGCAGGATGGCTGCTGGTCTTAAATTTGGCCTCACATTCTCACCTTTTTGTGATGAACCCTAGTGCAAGTCAGCAGCGAATGGGATCTCCGAGGTTGCAACTAGAGTTTTCCAAAACTGCAGATCATCGTGTCGAACTAACTTTTTGCTTTAGCCTAGCCTAAATTAACTAACTCTAAACCTGTAGGATGAGTCGAGTCAGTCTGTCACCCGAGTCAGATCAGTATGTGGGGGAAATAAGCAGCCAAGAATGAGGTAGGCACATGTGGAGAGATGCGAAGGCATCTCCAGGTAGCCCAGTTGAGCTTAAAACCTGTAGCCCAGTCCAGTCAGCAGGGCAGGGTTGAACACAACTGTTTAGTTTAGACGCTACATATCATTCTTCCAAAGACTATCAAGCAGTCGTATCCATTTCCCCACCTTCCTGTGAGGAAGTGCTGCAATGCTGATGTTTGATGGGATCTTTCGAGATTCGATCCTGTTGGAGGAGTGGAGAAGTTGCTGCAAATAATGCCATTCACATCTCAAGTGCCTGGTTCCTCGAGTGCCTGTGCCTGAGAGAGACGCAGCCTCTCCATGGTTTCTGTTGTAGCAGTCCTACACCCAAGAGACCACCTGACCTCCTAGTTCTCAGATTCGTACAAAAGTCTTGTGCGACTGGTCCAGTCCACTACCTTTCTAGTGGCGGGTTTTATATTCCATTGTTTCCTTCCAACATTTACTTTGATTTTTTTTTTTTTCCCTGGTTAAATTCATCATCCATTTGTCTCCATCTAGGGGAAAGTAGAGAAAAAACCTGAATCAGCCGGTGCCGCACGAAAGCCTGAGTCCAATGCAGTCTCTAAAATGGCTACTACTAAAACAGCCGTCACAAAAGAGAGTGCACAAAAACAGCCCAATGGGAAAGTGAGTTGGATTTCAGACTTTTACCTGTGGAAGGCGAAAGGAAAACTTTCTATTTCGAGTCACTTTCCCTTCTCCTGAACTCTTGCCTTTCTCTCGTCAGTATTGCTGTTCCTCCACACACACCTTTTTCCACTTCCTTCCTGTAAATCCCATGACACTGTTAATGGAGTCTGTGTAGAAGTATCCTTGGTGGTGACTTCCACATGTAGTCTCTTTTTTTTCTTTTCCAAAGCCTCTTGGAGGAAGGCCCTCTATATTTGCCTTGGGCAAAGCAAAGCATTGAGGTAGCCTGAAGAGAAGCTGCCCTTCTTCATGGGCTAGGGAGATGGATCAATAGTTCCTGCACTTTTAACCAACCCCCCCCCCCCAAATCATCGAGAATTTGACCCAAATCCTCCCTATGACTGTCCAGACAGCATGGCATCAGTAGTCTTCTCTGACATTTTGCAGCCAGGGCTCACCATGGCTTTGACTTCTTACCTGGAAGTCTGATGCACAATCTCATGTCAGCATCTGAGCTATGGGAGAAGAGTAGAGAAGAGGTGGGGTGACTGATAAGCCATTAACTTGTGATCTTGTGCCATCTTCTTGGGTACCATCGGGGAGTGGGGGCTTATAAATATGTAGAACAGCATTGGTCTGGCTGTTAATGGGTAAGTGTGAGCAAATGATACATTCCCACAGCTGGGTAATATCAGGGGCCCTGTTGCAATGAATCCAATCTGCCTAGGTTGGCTGAGTGTCCTGTGAAAAACCCTCTAAGGTGGAAGTGGGTGTTGGGGGTGATTCTAGCTACGCGATAACTCGAAAGCATACAAGAAAAGGGCTCCAGTGTGACACTTCCACCTGGTCTATAGTCTGTGACTTGTACCGTGTTTCAGAAGATTTTCTCTAGTAAGTAACTTGTAGGACTGACCTTGGGCACTTGGTTTTCAAACTGCTTCATGTCACAGAATCCTTTCATATCGCTTCTCCTGGCCCTGGCTCTCGAGTCATCTGAGCTGACTTGGAGCCAGGTCGGGTGATGGTAGTATACCACCTCTCGGCCCGCTTGACCATAATCGCCAGTCTCTTTTCATGGACCTCCAGGGTTTCATGGAGCGCAGTTTGGAAACCACTGTCCGAACTGATTGCAGCTGAGCCGTTGCTTTCTCTCAGCCTCAATTCTGGAAGTTCAAGTCAGGTCTTTTAACATAATCCTTGTGTGTCGTGGGCTCTGGAACCATTTCAGCTTGTTAGAAAAGAAGCAATGAGTCTATCCAGCTGGCACCAGACCTCCTGCCATCCAAGTTAAATTGGTGGTTTTGACAACTTTCCATTCTTCCAAGGTTAGGCTCTAATGCTGAGGTTTTGAACCCCATCACCCAGGATCTGAGCCAATCCCAGGTAAACTGGAATGGTTTAAAAGTGCAGAGACTAACCAGGTAGAAGTGGCAACTCCAGAGTATTGCATCTGCAGGGAATGAAGGCAGCTCTCCCTGCTTGAACGTATGGCTGAGGACGCCCTTGTCAGAGAGAGTAGGTTGTTCTAGAGCTTTATATGGGGAGCTGCCAGGGCGCGCACAAATGGCCTCTTGGTAGCTAGGCACTCGTGAAATGCTCATCTGTGCAGTGTGTAGGGCAGAGTTTTCCTCTGCACTAGTGCTTTAAGCTGTGTTGTCACTACCACCGTCTGTTCAGTCACTCTGCCTCATTTGTTTGCTTGTTGCTGTCTCACTCTCCTCTTCCGAGCTCTTTCGCACCTAATACTGAAGTTGGGTTTAAGTTTAACATGGCTCCTTGTCTACCCACCGTGTCCATCCCGCTCCAGCCTGTCTCGTGACGATTCTAACCAGCCCTTACCCCATGTCATTTTTTCCGTTCTGTAATGTTCTAGGTCCAGATAGTCTCCAAAAAAGCGAACTACAGCCATGTCCAGTCCAAGTGTGGTTCCAAGGACAATATTAAGCATGTCCCTGGAGGTGGGAATGTAAGTATGGGCTCTGGACACACTGTCTTTCTACTAACTTCCTTTTCATGTACTGCTTTCTATATGTGGTTTCCTGAGATTAATTCTGCTCTGTTCATCTGCCTGAAACAAAATAAACACCTCCGGCTAGGCGTGTAGGTAGGAGGCTTCCAAGATGCAATAGGTTAAATGTTAGGAGCACATTCATGATGTTTTCATGACATTGCAAATATACTTGCTCCACTTTGCAGCCCTCTAAAGCAATCCTGTATCAAAAGGAGAGACGCTCTCTACCGTGCTGCTTGGGTGTTGCCAATTGAGATCCGCGGTTAGTTAGTTAAATTGGTGGTTTTGACAGCTTTTCGTTCATCCAAAGTTAGGCTCTAAGGCTGAGAGGTTTTGAACTCCATTACCCAGGATTTGAGCCAATCCCAGGCAAACTGGAATGGTTTAAAAGTGCTGAGACTAACCAGTTAGAAGCGGCAACTCCAGAGTATTGCATCTGCAGGGAATGAAGGCAGTTAGGGGAAAAAACCTGCTAACTTTCCAGACAGTTTCTTTCGACATGGGGAGCTGATAAGATGCTGTGAACATAATCAGTATATGACAGTGTTGTTGCCTAGTGCCCAGAGCTGAGTGGGTTTGGGTAACTCTGAATGCTCATCCAGATGATGTGAAGTGCTAGTCTCGGCTTTAAAGTGATCCTGTATTGACCTGTCAGGGCAGCTTTTCCCACTGAGCACAGCCTGCATTACCTTAAGTCAATGCCAGAGCTGATTTGCTTAGTGGTTGGTGATATTTTTTTAGGACTGCATGTTCTGGATGTTTCAAGATAGGCAGCATAGTAATGATAGCAAGCAACCTTCACTACTGCTTAAGTGTAGAAGTCTTGCATCTTCCAAAATTTCACCGTCTCCGTGCCCCATTCTGACGGCTGTTGTCCCTGCCATACAAAATCCTGCTCCCCTGGTGAGTGGGGTTGTTGCCTGGGATGGTGACCTGCCTTTCTCTCTTCCAATCCACCAGCTAGAGACAAGACAGGATTTAAAAGTGCTGCCACAAAATGTCCTTTACAAAACCTGGGCAGATCCTTTTCTCACTACTTCCAGTGGAGGCAGCCTCCTCTTCTGCTCTGCAGATATCCCAGCTATGGGGAAATGCTCTCTGTGCTGAGTACCTTTTAGCAGCATTGCTTGCTCCTGTATCCATCCTAAGTGCTTGCCACCCATTCAGTTTGGAGGCTCTAGATGCCCCCTAGGACTTGGAGCATGGTGGACTGTGTGAGCGCCTTCCCTGAAAAGCATGCTTTTGTGTCTCATTCTGCATTTTTTTCTCTTGGCAACACATTTTTCCACCAGATGTTGCAAAAGAATCCTTCATGATAGTTTTTATTAGTAAATCTATCAAACCAAAGCCTTATTAATCCTCTCCAGAGGGTGGTCAGAGCTTGTCTCCCAGAGTACAGCTAGGAGGAGCAAGGCTGTAATTTCTATCTTTCTGGCCTTCTGTTCTAGTGAGGGGTCGTGGGTGCTCAGACTTGCATTTATGCAATTAATTTGCTACTATTTGGCAGCAGTAATGTGAGCCATTCGTACCCTCCACTGCGTCTTCATGTTCTTGCAGTTGGAGCGTGTCTGCAGTGCAGCTCAGTCGGGAAGGCCGGGGAGGGCATGTTAGACGAGCACACCCCCTGGGTGGGGAGTGCACGTGCTGTATGGCTCTCTAGCTTTGGCATGTTCCTGTTTCTTACCATAGATTGTCTCCCTGGGCCTTGGACAGACTGTACCTATCATCTGGATTTACAGCCCAAAATAAACCAAATGGTTGCAGGGCAGCTGCCTTTATCAAAGCGTTCGTGCACGCATGTAGAGGGGCTTTCTCTGGGAACTGCTGCTGTTCCATCACTGGCATCTTTATAGTAGGGTCTTGCACATATGTTTTCTTTCTTGGCTGTCAGCAGAAGTGGTACAGGGTAAATCTTTAGTTTGTGGCCTGTGTTTTTCTTCTTTTAAAACTTTTCCAAAGTCTCCAAATCTTCCCCTCTTGCAGAGAAGAGGGGTGCTTCCATTTTCACACGTGGTTTTCCCTCTTTCCTTCTGTCCGCACTTCTTCCTGTACGTACACCAGCTAAGCCGCTTGCTCTGAGAACAGAGTAAAATGCGTATCTGCTTTTAGGTTGCAGATGCCCAAAAGCTAACGGCAGTATTCCCAGGTGTCTGTCATCTCTAAACACAGCCCGGGCAATGGCAGTGCAAGTGGAAGAGCCCCGGGGGGCCTAGCTGGCTGCCCCTGATAGCGTTTCCTTTTATCCGTCACGCTGCTGCTGCTTGGCACTAACATAGGTGTCTGCTTCCAAGACGGTTCTTGTCCAGCTCATTTAGTTCTGCTCAAGGCAGCTCCACCTTGAAATCCTTGAGCCCGAAAGTGGATCAGCCGTGCTGAAGTCATGAACTCCTCAAACGTGCGTCTCCCCAGTAGCGACTATGGGGAATTCCTTGGACCAGTCATTAGCAATGATCAAGGTTAAGGCTTGAAACAAATGGTTGGGCCGTGGTAGAAATGGCTGGAACTTCCTAGTCCATTAATTCCTATGGTGTTCTGGGAAAAATGTTGCAAGAGCTACATCTGATCTGCCTTTTCTGCACAGAGGGGCTGATTGTATGTGCGGATACCCAAGAAGCTGGGGTCAGGGGGTTGTAGGTGGTGCTGCTGCTTTCACGTTATGTCTGGTACGAACACTTTAAAGTAGCAGTGTCAAATGCTCCTGTGGATCTGGACCACAGGGTGAGCAGTGGCTGTGGGCATTAACATGGCTATTGCTTGCCCTCTGCTGCTGCCCAGCGCCAAGGGGCTGTGTGCTCTGAATATGAGCAGTGGGCCTTGCTCCTGCTTACCCCTACCCGAATTCTTGGCCCCTTCATGAACCTCACAGGCCCTACAACACAGCTCTGTGGGCTGCAAAGTTTGACACTTCTGCTTTAAAGGCTGCAGTGTTATATTCCACCTGGGAAGAGAACTTATTATTATGCTTTTAAAAAATAAGGGGAAAATGCTACAGTGAAGCAGTAGAAAAGGCCTCACTTCCAAGCAGACGTTAATCCTGGAGCAGAACATTTGGCTGCTGTGTATGCGCATCCTCCTGCACGCTCAGTCTGCGTGCGGTGGTTTGGGGCTCATCTGAGACCACGCAGGGTCTCCGTGTTGTGGCTGTGCACTCTGTCTGGAAGGGGAGAGGGGCAGAGAGGTGAACAACCAACAGAAATAATAAAGGACCAGACTTCCTACCCTGAGCCCCTGAATTCAGGCAGCAAAGTCAGCATTTAACTTGGAGCCGCTGGGTCAAAAGACCTGACCCTCCGAGGGGGAAGTTTTGTTCCAGGTAGCAGTGAGTTTTATGAAACTAGCTTTGGGAAACATGAGAAGCTTTCAGGCAACAGCTGCTGAGGGACTTCGGTGAAGGGCTTACTCGTGTGTCTGGACACATGAGTAGGCAGGTAAGGGACGGGAAGATGTGATGGGACTTCTGTGATGGTAATAGTGACAGTGAGCAGCACCACCTAAAGGCACTAGAGTGGCTTCAGCAAAATCAAGTTAGTCTGAATCCAGTCCTAAGCAAACAAATGTTCAAGCTTTGGTAACTTTGGAAGTCTCTGAGAAGAGCCAAGACCCAGTGGATCACCTCCGAGTTAGCATCTAACCTCTATGAAGGAGCCCAGCTCTCCATTTCAGGGGTAGATCGGCATGAGAACGGGGTCCACGTAGCAGCAGCCTGTGCTATTTCTGCCTGGCCTGTAACTACTGTATGAGTAAAAGAGCAAGACTAGAAGCATTTTGTGTCCAGCTGCAGCGGGCGCCTGGATTCGGGGGCAAGCAGAACGCAGCTGCCGAAGGTGGAGTTGAGCCTGGGTGTCAGGACTCAAACCCTTCCCCATGAGGAGGCAGCCATGAAATCCTCTTCAGGATTGCCTGTGAGGCCTTGACCGAAAAGGCGTCTTCCCCCTTGTTCTGTTGCGGTGCTGCAGGGTGGGTTATTGGCTCGTTACTGACTCAGGATCGTTTACTAAACTACTAACATCACTACTTGCATTGCTCCTTTTTTTTCTTGGAGGTTCCCAGCCAGCTGTGGACCCAGGCGCAGATATGTCCTGGGGTACGGCCAGGAAACAATGGGGGAAAAGTGTGGCTGAAGTGAATAAAATGCAGTGGGGAAAGACAAGGGGTTTCGGAGCAGATTTCCAAGAACCCGAAGCAAGACCTGGTTATAAGAGTAGCAAGACCTGTCCGTGGGCACAGCGATTGCTCACTCTCCCCGTTCTTAGCTGATGTACAAACCTATACCGGATGCCTATAAACAGCCATTGGACATTTGAGATGAGGTCTGTTGACACCTTGGTTTGTTGGCTGATAACGCAGTAAAGAAAAAGCTATGAACTTGACACTCCACAGGGAGTTGGGGCAGTGCTGCTGATTTTTTTTTTTTTCCTTGACGCTGGGCTGGAGGCCTTAAATCTTCAGAGCCTGGGTTGGTGCTGGGGAGAGACAGTGTGGGGCATTTGTACTTGCATGGATGTGCGCTCTGCTCCGTGACTCCTGTCCGGCCACTGTCCACCTATCAGCTTTCCTTGACTTGCATCTGTCTGCACACATCTTACCCTCTGCTGACTGGGCCGGGGCTTTTGGTAGTGGTGGTAAATATTTGCCTTTTTAAGATCTGCTGAGCCAGTGAGTTCACAGGAAAAGGTGTTCGAGTGGCAAGGGGGCAGAAGAAGGTTAATTGAGTACGACTGACCGCGGTTCCTGGCTCCACAAGAAACAGTTTCTGTGCACTGCATTGTTCTCCCTCGTCTCTGTAGGTGCAGATCCAGACCAAGAAAGTTGACCTTTCCAAAGTGTCTTCCAAGTGTGGCTCCAAAACGACTATCAAGCACAAGCCAGGTGAGTCTCCTGGCACGTCCTCTGTACGCTCTGCCAGGCTGTGAATATTGCGTGTCGTTGCGACACAGCTCTGGTTTGCAAAGGGACTAGTGAGGCAGATGGATGGTTGTCAAGTGGATGCCTAGTTACTTACGGATGCAGTGTAACATGGGTAGAGAAGGGGCTGGGAATCGGAAAGCCTGGCCTTAGACTTTGGCTGGTGGCAGGAACTCGGTGTTTAACTTCAGGCAAGCTGCTTAGCTCTCGGCCTTAATTGCTCCCACTTCACAAAGTTGATCTGAAGGCTTAATTCATGTTTGTCTCCTGCCTTGAGCTCCTCTCGGAGAAGGCACTGTTGAGGGGTGAAGTCACTTCCCTCCAGTTCTCCAGAGCACCGTTTGTACTGCGACTCTGTATGTATCATGACCTGTCTCTGGAGTATCCTGGGGCTGTCCGCACCGTGGATGTGTTGGATGGGAACGCAGCAGTCATGCTGCACCAGTTCCTGCATGTCCGAGGTTTCTTTTGGGCTCCTAACCCAGCACTGAGCAGACCTGGTTATGTGGGTTCAGTGTAGCTCTAATGCAGGGTGTAACAGCTAGTGGCCAGTTACCTAAATTGCTTGTTTTTACAAGGGAGGTAAGACAACCAAGACCCTATGGTCAGGCCCGAGATGGTTGCTAGCTTTGCTAACAGGGCAGTTGTGTGCACCCAGGAGACCCCACTAAGGAAGTGTGCCTGCTTGAACATGAGTTTGCCTGTGCCTTTGTTCCCAAGAAGTCCCTATGCCCAGCCTGGAGCCAGTTTTGTGCACAGCATCACAGTTCAGTGCATCCAAAACTGCCTCCCTCTTTGAGAACACAGTGCCACAAACATGACCCCTGTCTGGGCAGCCCGCGGCAGTCACAAGTCGGACCCAACAATAACTGCTCTTGTCAGGGCTGATTAAAACGCAGTGCCCCTGCCAGACTTGTCTGCTGCATTGGATATCGAATGGAGTCTGCCGGGCCAGAAGGATGCTGCCGGTCTGTCTGTGGAAAGCTGGGGCATTTCTTTAAAGCAGCAGCAGGCTGGAATGGCTGAGCTCGGGGCCTGTGCGGCACGGGAGAGCCCCTAGCTGCAGCCCCCGTTGCCCACCGTGGCTGAAGCCCCAGCTCTGTGGCCCAGATCCAGCCTGTGGGCCACAGGCTGCTGACCGAGTTCAGTCAGCGCTTGGCAGAAACACCAGGTCGCTCTTGTGGCCACCTCCTGCTGCTCCAGCAGAGATCAGGGCACCCAGCCCCGGGACTGAAGGGGCTTCCCCTCCGTACCAGCTACGCCATGGGGTCACGGCGTGGATTGCACTGCAGGCACTGGGGCTGGCCGAATGGGACACGTGTCTTTCTCCCCCCCGGCAGTGGTGGTCTGTGAAGGCAGCTGGCAGAGGAGGAAAGGGAAGGGGCGTGCAGTTCAGCACAGGCACCCCAAAGGCCAGGCTTCAAGTCATTTTTAGACCCCCACAGAAGAGAGTTGAGGTTGCAGAGACTTGGTCACGGGGCACAGAGGCAGTGCAAGAAGACAGCTGGGGTAGCAGCCCGCCATGTCTCGACCTTTCAGCCCCTTTGAAGGAGTGTGTTTGGGGTGAGGATTGCAGGTGGTGGTGATTGCAGGTTTTTCGTGTGCTGCTTCGATGCACTCCTCCTGACCCTTTTCTTTCTCTGAGCCAGTTTTTTCTCTAAGGTCTGATTCTGGAAGTCATGTTTGGTTCCACCATGGCTTTGTCTGCACAGAGGGAGGCCTCCAGGTTTCTGTCTTGGCAGGGATCAGAGTTGAGCCTGGGCTGGAGTTGGTTAAAGGCTGAGGCACGGCCGTTGTTTCCCTGGCCTCCAGAGGAACCCATGGGCTGACTGGTGATGGGGCAAGGGGGACCGGGGCAGGCCTGGCTCAACTTAATGTGCTCTGAGCACCCGCAGCTCTGAAGCCAGCAGATGTTTGAGTTTCCTGCTCTTGCTGCAGGGGGAGGAGACATCAAGATCGAGAACCAGAAGCTGAACTCCAAGGAGAAAGCGCAGGCGAAGGTGGGCTCCGTGGACAGTGTGGGGCAAACCCCCACTGAAGGCCCAGTGAAGGTGGGTGCCACGTGCTGACCCGCGGCCAGGCAGGCCTCAAGCTCCTTCCACCTCCTTGTCTCATTCCTTCCCATCACCCCCCTGAACGGGGCAGGAGCTGCAAGCCCAGGCTCCACTTGGAGCAGTCTGCTGCTGGACCCCCTCCAGGGCGTAGCCCACCCCTGACCCTAGTGATGCCAGCACTATGCAAAACCTTCTGCACTAGATCCGTAGTCAGGTCCAGGGTGGCACGAGCGCAAGGGAAACCTGCCTTCCAGCCCCGCCTCCCTCCATGGTGGCTTGAGTCCAGGCAGTGTGTGTGCATAACTGCCCATCTTCTCAGAGCCATTGCAGTTGATCAGCAGTACTCTTCCCCACACCAGGCTGCTGAGATGTATGTGTGCGGTGCTCTGACAGGGATTTCACAGCAGCTGGTAATCCTTCGCAGGAGCTGGCTGGCTCCGAGCCTTCCTCTGCACACGAGGAAGAGTAGGTCCCTGCTTTCCCATGGCTTGCTGCCCTTATTGTACACTTCTCTGCCATAGGGATGTGGCATCCCATGCCCCCAGCTCTGCTCTGGGAATCGCAGGGCAGCATGTTGGAGTTTCACTATAACGGGGAGACAGCTGCATGTGGGCATGAGTATGTCCTCTAAAATGTCCTTGTGTTAATAGTCAGCGCCTGGGCTGATGCAGCACCTATCGACCTGGTGCTGGAGATTTGCCTCTTCAATTCATCATCGGTGCCCATGGTTTGATTCAAAACGCTATTGCATCTGGAATCCTTTTGGTTCGGTTTTAGCTTCCGGGCAACGGGAGCTTGGCTGGCGAATGGCATTGAGCAGCTGCTAGGTTTGGGCAGAGGTAGGAGACACGTATTTGCAGTCCTGGGCTGGATGGACCAGTGCCACGTTGACAGCCTGAGCGCAGCATGCTGAGAGCTGCTCCTCTCCTCCTGAGCTCCTGCCCGTTGAGTCACCTGTGGCATTAGTGGTGGGTGCAGGTCGCACCCATGTCCGTCACGCCCAGCCCTGGCTGACTTGCCGTGGGATTCCCATGGGCAGCTAGCAGCTCTCCTGCTGACCCTGCCCACGGACTAGCCTAGCTCTATTGCAGGCATGCAGGCAGCACGGTTTCCAGTTGAGAAAGGTGCTGCTTTTGGTTGTGGCTGCTGTGGGAGCCCCCCGGATCTGGGTCGTCTTTCTTGGCCATGCAGGGACTTGTCCAGTCCCACACAGCTTCCATCAGCCAGTGCTACGGCCGTGTTTGTAAGAACTGAGTCTCAGGGAAGAAATCGTAGAGGAGCAGGGCTTGAAGGGACTTCCGTGGGTCATCTAGTCCAACCCCCAAGAAGAGGGGCAGAGGGCAGGGTGCCTCTGCTGCATTAACAGCCTTTCATGTTGGTGAGCACGGAGGGGATAGAGCCTGGCCTCCGTTCCACGCCACATCCGTCTCCCCCGACTCATCCTTGCCCTTCCCGATCCCCTTGTTTCGTTGTAGACCGAGGAGAGCAAAGAGGCAGCGCTGCCAGCTGCGGCCCCCCTGGACGGAGCAGCGGCTGTACCCCAGGCGGGCGGCAACACGCAGGAGAACGGAGTGGGGCCGGCTGTGCCCGCGGCCGCGGGCGGTGGTGACCAAAGGGACAGTCAGAGCTTCGACACTCAGATACAAGAAACAAGTAAGTGGCAGCGCCCCGTGGCCTGGCCGTGCCCAAGGACCCCGCTTGCCTCTGCTTGTTTGGAGCAATGTCTCTGCCGCTGCTGCCGCTGCCTCGTGTTTAATGGAGAAAATTGCCTTTTATTTTCCAGGCATCTAATGATGACATTCTGGTATCGTCTTCCGTCCCCTGTCCCTCCCCCTGCCTGTGTCTCCTCTGCTGTCCCCTCCCTCCCCCCCCTTGTGTCGCTGCAGATTGACCCCCACCAGCTGACGTTCCGTGAGAAGGCCACGGCTCGCACAGACCACGGAGCGGACACCGTCGTCGCCAACCCCCAACCCCCCCAGCAGCGCCGCCGCCTCGTCACCACTGCACCAGCCGGCTCCCCTTGCAGAAGACCTTTCTGCAGCGCTTTCTCAGCAAGGCTTGTGACTCCCCCAGTCTCCCCCCACCGCACCCCCAGGGGGACTCAGCTTGGCCCCCTTAACCCGGCGCCTGGCTCTAGAGGAGAAGGGCACCGCACGCGAGAAGGGCTACTTCCTTTCAGGGAGGCTGCCTCGGTTTCCATCGCCCTGACAGCTGCCCCCTGTCCCGCGCCACCCTCTCCTCTCTTCACCTGACGTCCTTGCACTGGGGCGGCTCTCAGGGCGAGCTCGAGGGTCAGGCTTCTGCCTTCAGGACAGGGGGCCGGGGATCTGTCAGCCGAAGGGGTGTTTAAGCCAGCCCTGGGTCGGGGGGCCATTGAGCCTTGCTCCGTCGCTGCCTGCGGGCCAAAGCCAGGCTGGAGTTAATGGGGAAAAGCTGTGACCTTCCTCTTTTTTCTTTTTTTTGTTGTTGTTATTTTTTTTGTCCCCCTTGCTGCTTGGGTTTCTGCTATTCCTATTGAATGACGGTATAGATCACACACACACACACGTACATACACATGCTAGGCTGTTGACTTTCACCTTTTACTCTTTTCGTGACAGTGTTGATGATTTCTCAAGCTGCTGACCCATGCTATGTCCCTTCCCTCCCGCTCTGATTCTGTCTCGCTCTCTTTCCCCTTCTTCCCCTAACCATAGGAGAGTAAAGACATTAACCGCTGCTGCAGTGCTGGCTTCTTACCGACATATCCAGCCTTTGTAACTGGGTTTCTTTTTTTCTTTATCGTTGAGATTTTTGTTCGTTTGTTTTTAATATTTTAAAGTAACGGAGCAAATTCATGGGAATAAGCCATGTCTGAAGGGAAGGGCATGAGAACGAGCTAGCGGGAAATCTCTTGCCGCAGCCGTTCCACCAGGCCCCACGCTGACTTTGCAGGGAGCCGGGGTGCAAGCACCTGGCGCACCCCCACGGGCTGTGTTGCCAGCTCCGGTGGGTGCTCCAGCACCTGCCCGTGCAGCAGCTCCCACGAGGTCAGCGAGGGGGAAGGCGGTTTATTTATGAACTCGGATAACCACCGCCCTGCTCGCTGGCCGGAGGCTGGTGGCTGGGAGAGACGCGAGGCTGCTTGCACAAGGGTGCTGCGGGGTAGCGCGGGCTACGTGTTGAGGCAAGGGAAAGGTTGGCAACGGTGGGCCGGGTGACCTGATCACCTGGCTGGGACGAGACCTGGCGGGAGAACGGAGGAGCCGCCTCCTGTCCAGAAGAGCAGAAAAGTGGGGAGCAGAAAGTCTGCAGAGGGCTGGGGGGCTGAGCCTTGTTGCGGCGCGGGTCGGCAGGCGGTGGGGCAACGGCCCTTGCTCTCGAGGGTTCTGGGTTGTGGGCCGAGCTCCTTGTTTTACGTTGCGAACGACACTAAAGAAACGAACTGTAAATAAGCCTCATGCGCTCAAGTCCAACTAACACAAAGCAGCAAGCAGATAACGAAACACTGGGATCAAAGGTAGCTGGAGGCAGACTTCCACCGGGGGCCGGCCTGGCTGGGCTGGGTGGGACTGGGGGTCCGCGAGGCAGTGGTGGCGGCATCCCCGCCTGGTGGGAATACTTGTTTGGGAAGCTGCCGCCGGCGCGACTGCCCAGAGCCTGTATTTACACACAAAGACTCTTATTGCACTTGTATTTTTATATTAAAGTTTGCATGATTTCTAATAAAACGGCATTAAAGTGTGCTAGTTGGCATCCAAATGGTCTGCTAGTTGCGTTAAGTGCTTTTTTCCTCTCAAGGCGAAATTCGATAAGCAATGCAGATTTGCACCTGACTGGGGCGGTTATATATACCCCAGCCCTCACACCGCTCCCCACTTCTCCCCCTCCCTTCATTGCACATCCACACTCATCCCAGGACCAGGGACAAGCACCCAAGCTGCTCACGTTCGCCGGGTGTGCTCGGCTGCGGTGTGGCTGCCTGCCTCTGTAGCCACTCCCTGGGGGGGCCATCAGAAAAGCACTAATACCCTCGTTCCCCCTCGCCCTGTCCGCTCTCCTTGCGCTTGCTCTGCGGGTGTGCCAGCCAGGCTGCAGGTGGAGGCAGCAAGGGCAGCGCCATGTCTCTCGCACCCAAGCAGCTGCTCCCCAGCCCTCCGTGGTGGGAGGCCACAGAGCGGCTGCACTTGCTGTCCCTCTCCCTCAGTCCGGCGAGCAGCCCTCGATGTCCAGCATGGCCCCGGGTGGGAGAGCGGCGCTGTGTTGCGATGCCCAGGCACCGCCACAGCCCCTCTCCCTCCGAAGCTGCTGGCTCTTGCCATCCCTCGCCCCTGCATGTGGCCTGCGGGTGTATATATCACTGCCCTTCTTTGAGGCTTCCTTCTTTCTCAGTTACTAAATTTTAAACACCGGCTGGTCCTTCAAAACCTGCCGATGCCAACACTTTTACTGCAGGGAAGGTGGTAGAGGGGGGCTGGAGGTCCCGGCGTCGGCTTTGCTTCCCAAAGCAATAACGGGGTCTGCTCTGAGACGGGCAGCTTGACGGGGGACAAGGGTGGGCACGCGTCACTTGGACCAGGCCTCCCCGTGGGCCGCGGCACCGAGACGCCTGCGCCGGGTGATGCTCCAGGGGCAGCTCTGATGCAGGGCCCAGCTGGGCAGGTTGGGCCCGAGCGCAGCAAAGGGAAGCAGGATGCTGACAGGCTGTGGTGGCGTTTTGTTCAGAGCATGGGGCAGGGCAGGGCAGGGCAGGGCCCCCTCGGTTCTTCCTGGATGGGGTGGGGAAGGCTTGTGCTGAGGGCAGGTGGAAACGTTGCACTTCAGTTTTTATGGCTGCAGAAATGCCCTTGTTTTTTGCAAAGGATGGTGCATTTCTCCCCCCAGGATGTGACCCGGCGAATTTGCAGGGTGTGGGTCTAGGAGAAGAGCCCAGGCCACGGTGCAGAGTCCAGTCTTACAGTCCCAGCCCCAGACAGCGACCTCCACTTCTGTGCCTGCGTGTGGCTGAGTCGAGCTAGGCCTGGATGCCGGGGCAGGGCGGAGGTTGGGAGGCTTTCTGTTTTAACCATCTCTTGTGTTTGTTTTAAAGAAAGAGCTGGACCTGCTGCTCACCCGGGAACGGGGCAAAGGCTGCGGTGGACGTGACTTGCTTCCGCGCGAAGGGATGGGAGCGAAAGCGGAGTTAGGCAGAGACCATAACAGCGAGGGGGCAGCAGGCATCGGGGCCGTTTCAGTCATTAGAATATCGACCCTGAGCGCCCGGGTCACCTCCCTGCTCCCCGCGCCCTTCGCTGCCAAGGGCAGGGGTAGCAGGGTCACCACGGCTCCTGGCTGGGGTGGAGGCCTTCTCCAGCTGCCTCCTTGTCCGTGCGGGGGAACGGTCCACATGCAGGGCTCCCAGTGCCCTGGCGTCCCAGGTGAATTGGGCTAGGCTGGCAGGACAGAGTACTGGGGACGCTTGGGGTGGTCCGAGGACGGGGTCACATTCCCTGTGCAGCTTGGGTTAGGTGTGTGTGTGCAAGTTCCCGGCCCGAGATTCCTCTCGCAAACCCCAGCACTCCCTGCGGGCTGCTTGGTGCGGGGTCTCTGGTATCAGCGCAGCGCAGGCAGCAAGGTGGCTGTTCGGTGAGGGAGCACAGGGACCTGGTTGGAAGGCAGGTGTGGGTTGCAAGAAGCATGTCCCATAGGGATGTCCGGGCCACAGTAGACTTGACTCCTGCTGGCTGGGGCGTAGTCACCCCCCAAAGCGCCCATCGGAGCAGGAACGTGACGGCCTTCGCGCCAGCAAGGAGCAGCTCCATTGTGGCCGTGTGACAGCGTTCCTGCGGGCAGTGCCGGGCGCAGCGTGGAGGGGTCTGTGGTTGACTGAAGCAGTACGTGGCAAGGACAGGCAGTGGTGTGGATGGTGTTGGGGCATGGCACGCAGCGGTGCGTGTTGAGCATGGGCGCGCTAGCTGGAAACGCGGTGTTAGCGGGAGCAGAGGGCTTCTCGGTGCCGGTGGCAGCTTGGTGGACTCGCTGTGCATGCCAGGACCCTGCATCCTCTTGTAGATCAGGGACATCAGCAGCACTCGGGGCGGCTTCTTTCCTTGCCAAGGACACTTGAATACGCGGGTTCCCAGACTCATGGCCACAGGGCAGGAGCCTGGGACTGGCAGCTGGTGCTGCAGGGCTCTGGGTCTGCCCTCCAGGTGCCACGGCC